CCACTTTGGGGGGGGCCCTGCCCCCCCCCCCCCCCCCCTCATCTTTCTACCCCCAGCTGCGTCTTTATTTGGCACCTGGGCCTCGAAATCACCAGCAGCATGAAGCAGCACTTGTTGGAGCTCAACCTGCCGCAGCCGAAGCGGGCGAAGGAGCCCGGTTCCCCGGCGCAGCTCAGGTAGCGGGGGGGAGGGGGAAAAAAAAAAACCCTCGCCCCTAAATCCCACCCCGGTTTTGGCTTTCGGGGTGGGAAAAAGCTCGTCGGCCCCCCACCGTTCTCCTCCTCCAGGCGGGAGACCTACGTCGCGATTCCCGGCGGGATGGAAGCCAGCGGAGCTTCCGACGAGGAGCCGCGAGACGAGGCCTCATCCCCGCAGACCCCCTCCAAGGAGGATTCGGAGCCGCGTGCGTCGCGGGCCGGGGTCCCTCACCTCCATTTTCTGCCCCGTTTTCCGGTCGCGGCGTCCGGCGCCGCTCCTAACCCCGCTCTCCCCCTCCAGCTCCGGCGTGCATCCTCACCAACGGCAGGTTGCCCATGTGGGCAAAGAGGCTAGTAAGTCGCGCGGCCGCGCCTGTATCGTTTAATTTAACCGCGAATGGATGAAAATTCCCTTTTTTTTTTCCTTCCCCCCGCCGTTTCCAGCTGGGAGAGGTGGAGGACGGCGACGCGGCGGCCGCCAACCCCCCGGGGAGCTACCGGCCGCGGGGGCGATGGGCAGAGCGCGCCGAGAGGGGCCCCATCAAGACGTTACCGGAGACGGATCCCCCCTACCTCACCCCCCTCAAATCCCACCTCGAGGGCGAGCCGGAACTCGAGCCTGGCAACCTGGACCATCTACTTTCAGAGGTTGGTTGCCCCCATCCCAAATGAAAAGCCGGATTCCGGTTTTAACCATCCCTGCTCGCCAGCGCCCGTCTTTCCTGGAAAAAAATCCGGTTATGGATATCGGCTCCCCGTCTCCGGCAGGTGGAGAGCTCTCCCAGTGACCTCACCGAGGATTTCCAGCTCTCCGAGTTCTTCCTGGATGAGGAAAACAACGGGAGATCGGAATCGACGGATACAACCGGGAGCCGCCTGGAGGAGCTGCACGTGCCGGAGGCGAGCGGGTCGGTGCCGGCCTCATCCCGTGTTTCGCTCCGCTTGGGAATGCCGGCGCCTTGCTACCAGCCGGAAGGTAACGCCGGGAACGCCGGCGCAGCTCCGGGAAGGCTGGCGCTAAACCTTCGCGACCGAGCGAAAAGCTTGGGAGCGGTTTTAACTCCTGGGCGGGGAGCTCGGAATAAAAACCGGTGCTAACGTCCACCGCGGATGGTTTTCCATCCCGGCAGAGGAGGATTCCGGTAGGGAAGCGGAGGAGGCGGAGGAGAACCCGCTGCAGAGCAGCTCCTTGCCCCAGACCCCCGAGCAGGAAAAATACCTCAAGCAACACTTCGAGACGCTGGCGGACGCCGAAGGTAACGGGAAAAACCGCCGGCGGAGCGCGCCGGCGCATTCGGCACGGCCGATCCGGGCGGATCCCAGCTGTAACCGAGCTAACGCTTCCCGATCCGCGGTCGCAGAGAAGTTTGACGGCTCCTTAACGGATTTGAAACCGCCCGAACCTGGGGATGAGGAAAAAAATTTGTTCTTGAACCCGCGCTTGAGTATTTCAGCCCGGTTCCTCTCGCGTTGCCAAAAAAACAGCAGGTGGGAGTTCAGTGCCGCGTCTGTCCGGCTGTCTGTCCGGCGGGAAAGGCGTTTCCCGCTCCCGATCCCTTTTCTTATCCCGCAGGCTGGCGACCGCTTTCCCTGCGCGGGCACGACCCCGACCGCAGAGCCCTGCCCGTGCCGCGGAGCCGCCGAAAACACCCGAGGAGCTGCCGCGACCGGAGGCGAGTTGGTTTTTCTTTTTTTACCTAAAGGAGGGGAAAATCTTGGGGAGAAACACCCAAAAAAAAGGGTTTTTCATTCCTCGCGCCGCGCTAAACGGCGCTTCCGTTGATTTTTTTAGAAACCGCGGGATGAAAAACCTTGGGAAACGGGAGAAGAACCGGGCTCCGACGCCGACAAACCCATGGGTGAGTGGTTTTGAGGACAAAAAGGGGCTGCTTTCACCCCAAAATCCCCTCCTGGATGGGGATGAGGTGGGTTTTTTTTTTTTGGTCCGGTCGCGGCAACCGCAGGATCCAACCGGCTCCAGACCTTCACCGCGGCCCTGCGGCTTTTTCCGGCGCGGTTTCCAGAG